TCCTGCAATTGAGTGCCACACCTCTTACTCGACCTTGATGATGACGCCAAAAACCGTCCACATGCTCTCCTCATGTTTCAATTAAACTGTGAATAATAAGGTGGAGGAACCCGTCATACTGTTGTTACAAAGAAATCAACGATAGAAACCAACGATGTGTCAAGTCCTGCCGTTCAATCAACATGGCTAATTTGTCCCATCCACATCAGGTGACCAGTATATCAGAGTCAAATGCGTCACAATAAAAGCACAAGTTGCGAAGACCTCGTAGGGCCAATACCCCACATTTTTATCATCGAGGGAACTGATGAAGGACGTCTAAAACGTTTCCGTAAGTCTCCTTGTTGCAGACTGTTCTACGTTGGAGCTCGTGAGGGTCAGATGCCGGTAGTGCTAACCATGATAAACAAAAGGCTGCGCACGCCAATACCTGCCGTTATCTTCACGGTAAATCGAATTAAAAATTGACGAGTTTATTCAGTCTATTCTGGCAGTGTCTCGTGTCCATCGGATATCTTTTCATATCCAGTAATCTTTACGTTCTTATAAACGCGAGTCAAGTGACGGCTTGGCTGGCAATTACCGTTGTAGTTATAGCGTTATTAAGGCTCCGTTATATGTATCCCGACGCGGAACGAACAGTGAAGGTATGTCAGAAACAGATTTCCATAATTCTCAATCTGTGAGCTTAAAATGCGGTTTGGACAGCACAGAGCTGCTTTAGACGCAGTTAGACTTTTTCGATAGTCGTATAACACGTAGGGATTTCACCCTACATGCGCATTGAATCTTTTTTGTCGCTCGGAATATGAAATACTGGCGTAGGATGCAGGATCCGCTCTCACCTTATCTTTTCAGGAAAACTTTTCAGTATCAAGAAAAAATTCTATCCGTATATAACTATAATTATTGCAGAAAGACAAAGATTTCAATAGCGCGCGTTTTGCATGTTAGTGTTATCTGTGTTATAATAACTCCATTGAGGTCCCTCTATGGTTAGCGATCATATTCGTTATTGGCTCATCTGTAATAGTCGTCCTTCCGGTATTTGGATCCCCAGTGGATACAGGTGTGTAGAAAGAAGACATCATTTTCATTCTTCTATATCTTCTCTGTTACCGCTGTACTTAATGTGTCCCGCTTTGAATCGCTGCATGTCCGATGGTCCAAAATGTGAACACTACCCGCTGCAATCAACCTGCAAGCCTTCTTGGACTATGAATGGTTATAGCATTCTGAGTGATTTGGCACTAAACGGAGTCTCGAAAAATGGCCTTATAGTTGGATGTCGAAAAAGATATTTCGGTCTCGAGTATAGTCAAAAGAGGCTTCTTGGCATTGAGATGCACGAGGCACATACGACAGATTCAAAGACAGCAGCCTACACCCATCGGAATAACAGAATAACTCGAGCGATTGAGGAAGCAAATGAGATCGGCTGTTACATATCTAAGAATGGAGATCCTGTCCAACTTTTGGTTGCAGCCAAAATAATGTCAACAGACATCATTGTATTTTAACGATTACGGAGTGAAAATGCCCATAATCAGTCTTACTTGAATGATGCTTTCGCAAGGGAAGTGATCCTCTGGAGTCAGAATCACTTTAGTGGTCACGAACGGACTTACCATTAAGACTCTGCTGACGCAGAAGACCGAAGTCATCCAATCCAATTGTGAAAACAACTTCCCTGTTCTATTTTTCCATAATGCCGTTATGGCCAGGCGATAGCTGAGCGGCAGGCATTATTGTGATGATAGCTTAAATATTTATTAAGTATCATATATTCAAATATCAAATATTCAAGAAGATTGTGGTGAATAAATTGATGCAGTTTAATTTCTGTCCTTTTTCCTATCAAGATTGAGAGGCTTTCAGAAACTGCCGTTTCTGCATTTACCACGTATTTCCGAACAACATTACAGTTGAACAAAAACTGCTTTCTGCTCGGATATGCAGTCACAACAACAAAAATATTCTACATTTTTTCAGCTATTGGCCTAGCTATACTTTTCTCAGCTGTACCTATCTACTTTGTATTCATCAGCACTCATGTAGTTCCTGACTTCATAAAAGGAGTCACCGGTAAGTGATTGTAATCTAGTCAAAGAAAATGGATTTCATAATTTTTAGAGGGATTCACCATATTTGTGCAAAAGCTGTTTATGGTATTCGACGACAATGAGTATGATAAGGATTAGCATTTGTGTTAACTAGCCGAAATGTTTTTCTGATATCAAAACAAATACTCTTATTCTTGAGTTGCTTCTAGGCAAAAGATTTTGGTTGTTTAGTGTTTCATAGATAGGCTTCCAATAAAGTAACTAAAGGTTTAAGGTTCCTATTCATAGTTATCTGCTTGAAACTTGCATTTTTGGAAACGTGGGTCTATCCTTGAAGATAGGAATATATTAGGTTGATGCATAATTCCTGCACCAAAACGGG